CTGTGGACTGGAGCATGAGACAGGATAAGCAGAGTGACAAGAGGCCTGCGGAACTGGAAACTCATCCTCCAATTCACAATGTCATGAGCATGAGTAAAAGGTAAGGAACACAAATCCTATGTTGACTTGGCCTGCTCAGAACCAAGGGTAAGACCCTGCAGACATCCCCCTGAGGGTCCGCTGTGCCTTGAAGGCACCATTTGTTTGATATCAAGTCTTCTGGCCAAGAGAATCAGGATATGCTCCACCAGGGTGCGATTACACTAGAGGATTTGGAAAAGGTGCTCACAGGTGGTGCTTCTGGTGAGTCACACCTTACAGATGTCAAACCAAGTCAGTGAGTGGGGCTGGGCCTAGGATACATGGGGAAGGTATAGGCAGGGCACTCAAGTTGGAGAAAGCCATGGGTCCTGCACAGGCACTGTGATCAAATTGGCAAGGGCAGACAGTTGTTAAAAGGCTGGCCAGAACTTGGCTCTGTGATCATCCTGTAGTACTTGTTGATCATTTATTATGTGCCAGGCTCTGTGCTAGTATATAAGCCATACAGGTCTCTGCTTTTATGAAAGACATGCTCACACAGAGACAACAGTATACACACTGTTTGTACATACAGACATACATATACCTACATAAGCTAAGACAATTTATGATGGCAAAACAATAAACCTGAGCTTCCTGGGGCTCTAACTCAAGGTAAAAACCTGTAGGGCCAAAGCTGGTCTGTTCTTTGAGGTGAGAAATATATGATACCATGTTTACTGAATGACACAGTGAGAACAAACACAAGAAAAGTTAGAAAAGATGGTAAAACTTTTGTTGGCTAAAGTCACCAGAGCAGTGTTTATGGAAGAATTGATATTTTAAGGTTAGAGCTAGGCATGTGTATGGGCAGGAAGAAAAGAGGAAAACTTCTAGAGAGAGTAAAGGAACAGTCAAGTGGGCATGTGAGGTGTGTGTCAGAGAGAGAGAGAGACAGACAGACAGACAGACAGACAGACAGAGAAGAAGATCCTTAGCAGGACACATACTTGGATCTTTAACACAATTTACAAGTCCCAGGAGGATGTGGCCTCTGTACATCACAGTTCTACACCTCCCCTTTGCCCAAGCATTCCTTTACTAAATGACCAGTTCTGCCAGTGTGCACCGCTCCCTCTGCTCAAGTTTTCTAAAACTTGTGATTCTTCTACCTAAAACAGTTGGCCTCCACCCCCTAGCCTGACAACAATGACTCATCCCTTAGATCTTTTAGGCCTCCATTTAAATAAGTATCTTCCTACAACTAATGCTCCTAATGCCCTGTGGGAACACCACCTGAATGTTCTGAAGCCTGCAAGAATTTGGACTTGTCACAGTGGTGTCTAGGGCCCATGAAGTGTGATATGGTGAATATGATATTTCAAGAAAATCAAACAGCTAATATAGTGCCCCAGGCTCTTGGTGCCATCTTGGCCAAAAATTGAGTACATGAAGGTTGAGTGTTAACCTGTTGGGTGTACATTACTCACCTTCTTTGGTTCTCCCAGGGAAAGCACCCCTGTCTTTCATTCTCTGTCCAGTGGCATGACTAGAATTTGTCCCACTCCTGGTGCTAGGGAGGAGCATGTGAGAAAGGCTTGGCCACTTAGAGCACCATACACACTTGGCCCCAGTGACTAGCTCAGAGATGGAGAGAATCCCCAAAGGGTCTGACAAAACTTAATTTTGGACTTCTGCGGCAATACTAAGAAAAGGGATTCTCTTTCTTCCAGTGATTGCTAAGCTCATATAATGTGAGACTAGAGCCTCCTGAAAATGGTACCAACATGAGAAGGGAGAGCCAGGAGATAGCAAGAGGCAGGTTGTGGACAGCTTCATCTATATACCTGGACTCAGCTGAGGTTTAACCAGGAGACAATTCAGTAACAAAAGCCAATCAATTCCATTTGGGGTATGAAACAATTCAGATGAGCTGGTCATTTGCAACCAAGAATCTGGCCCTCTCCACTCAAAATGTGACCAGAACCAAATTCTTTGACTTTATGGACTCAGTCCCCATAAAAATGATATTACAGTAGCAAAAATGACTTCATCAGTTGAAGTTCTTCTTGGTGGGGAGGCATCTGTCAAATACCCACTAGTTTGGACAATAACCACCAATAACACATAGCAAATAATATCTTGACTATTTCAATCTGCCTTAGCTAAATCATTAATTTGCTAGACAAAGACAATCAGGTATCTATAAAATTATTTTAAAAAATCGGTACACAGTATCCTACTACTTAGCAAAAGTAAAACTCCATATAAAACAGGAAAATTTTCTAATGGGGATGCTGTGAAAAGTCCTTTTAAAAAAAGTTTCAAGATTTCTAGGTGTGCCAAAATACACACAACTATCCCTTAACACCTTAACACCAAAAAAAAAAAAAAAAAAACTATTCTAAATGCTTTTAAATATCTTAACCTTTTTTTTTCCAGCCAAAATTGCCCTAGGTCAGGGCATGAGTGTATTGGGAATTTTTTTATCTTATCAATGGTGAAGTGACCAATTCGTACTGGTTTGCCTAAGACATTCCCAATGTTAGCACTGAAAGTCTCATATTGAAAGAACCCCTCGGTTACAGGCAAAACAGGAGAGCTGATCACTGTTAGACAAAACCCAAAGTCCCTGCTACCTATAGCCTTGTTTCCTACAACACTACATACCTTGACATGTTATAAACCCCACACTAGCACACACATATACCTGGGCTGTGCGGTGACTCTTACTCATCCTTGGGGAGTCCAATCTAGACTTGCCCCCCAGAAAGTGCCCAAGAAGGGATCTCACAGGACCGTAGGCCTCCTCCTGCAATCCCATCACTTGCCACACTGTACTGCCACTATTTCTTTGGCTTCTCTCCAGTAGTCTGCAGACTCCCTCAGGAGATGAGCTGCTCTATACCCAAGACCCAAGATGTTTACTATCAAAGCCAAATGAAGTGCAGTGTGCACAATGGATGGGAATTTGCTGATTATGGCACCTTTTCCCAAGCCACCTTGGGATATTCTGAGCCTCACACCAACACCCAAATAACCAGGCTCCCCAGGCTATAACATGGATTAAGAAGATTGGCTTAATCCAGGGCAGGCAGCTCCAGTTTCCAGCAATGCAAACTACAAATGTGGGCAGTTCTCAGGAGACTGCAAAGAAACTTGAGCCACTTTACATTCCTGAGTATGCGCTGGCCGGACAGCCAACAGTGATACCCTTCCCGTGATAAGGCACAGACAAGTTGAAAGATTCCCAAGACGGACTTAGTGGGAAGTGTTATTCAGAGAGTAACAAGTTGCAAGCTCTAGGGTAAAGTGCCGGTTCTGCTACTCTACCTGCCAGCCCCTTGGGGCTAGTGATTTAAGCTACTTGAATCTTATTTTCCCCTTCTATAAAATGGAACTATAAAAGTTCCTGTAATTCATAGACTTATGAAGACTGAGAAAATAACAAAGGAAGTCTTCACCACATACCTTGCACAGAATAAAATATTCAATGAATACTAAATTAATTTAAAGGGGCTACAGTCAGCACCAGTCCAATAAGAGCCTGATATCTGGTACCAGCCAAACAACCCTTCGGGCTAACCATCCTCCCCTTCCCAGTCACATCCACCCACTCCATAAATTCCTGAAATCCTTAAACCACTCCCTTTTCAGACCAGCTGCCCTCCCATTTAAGAATCCTCCTTCCCTAGCAACCCCCCACCCTAGTCCTGGGCCTCTTTCCTCTCCTCCTCTTCTCTACCCATCACCTCCAAAACCCTCCTGACTCCCACAAAAAGTCTCTATTTTCCATTGCTCATTCTGTCCCCTAAATCCTTGGTCTTGACCTGCTCTACACTTTTCCCCAATTTGTTCACTTATGTGTTTCATTTTGTAAGTATCTGTTGAGTTCCTACTGTGTGCAGGGCACAGTGCTTGATACTGAGAAAACAAAATGGTGAACAAACCAAGTAGCCCCTGCCCTCCTAGAAGATCCAGTTTAATAAGAGACAGAAAACCAATTAAAAATAAACAGGGTAATGGAAGACCACAGATAGGCAAGAAATAAAATCAAGAAAAAGATCTGACAGAAAGGAACTGGGGTGGGGGAACACTTTAAGTAGGGTGGTCTGGGAAGGCCTTGCTGGGCTAATAAACACAGCTACCACATGACTGACCACACGCTGTGTAATAGTAGTGGGTCAATCACTTTCCAAGAAAAACATTACTGAATCCTTGTACAAAGTGCATCATCCTCATTTGCTGATGGGGGACTGGAAACTCAGAGAGATGAAGTAATTTATCCAAGGTAGAACGGCCATGAAGTTATGGAGTCAGGATCTAGTCACAGATCTTTTAATCTCTATACATGCCTGCTTCCCTGAGGCTGTCTGCCATCTATCTCTGCTTTATCCGCCCCCCCCCCCGGAAAAAAAGAAAACTACTTTGTTCTTTTAATTACTGTCCTTTATTGAGCACTTGTGCATGTTCTGAACTTTTTGTTCATTCCTTATCCAACCAGGACACAGATGCTGTCACTATTAATTCATTTTACAACTGAGGAAACTGAGGGCCACGTGCATACACGTATATTCGAGCCCAGATTTATGTCCGACTCCAAGATCCAGTCCTTTGCCCCCCAAACTGTACAGTCGAAGTAGTATCGCCCTGGGAAGCTTGGTGGCCACCGACCGCCCCGGCAAGAATTAAGTTCTCGTCCACAAACCTAAACCGTGTCCTTATTTTACAGGTGGAGACACTAAGTCTCTGAGAAGCTAAGCGATATGTCCAAGGTCATACAGACATCCAAGAACGACGGGCCAGGGTTCGAACCCAGGCGCTGACCGCTGACTCCAGAACCCTCGCTCGTAACCACCACACAGCCTTTTTCGGCCGCCCTCTCCTCGCTCCACCTCCGCTCCCAGCAACTAGCGCCCCCGACCCGAGCTCTGATCCTCAAGCCCCGCGGCCTCCCCCTTTCCCTCCTGTTCACTCACTTGAGGTGGTCCAAGGAGTGGATGTTACGAGAGGACTTGCCATGGCCCCCGCCCACCCAGCTCCGCGAGCGGCCAAACATGTCGGCGGCCCCGGCCTGTCGCTCGCCTCACGGTCTCATGCCCCACCGACTGAGCGGCCGGGCGCTCGCGGCAGCAGCACAAGCGGAGGCAGCCGTGGAGGTGATACTGAGATCGCCAACCACCTTCCTCCCGGGCCCACAGCCAGCCCAGCACTGACATTCAGCCGGAACCGGCCGTTCGACCGCCGCGCTTTACGACTGCTGCCAAGAAGAACTCTGGGAAATGTAGTTCTCCTAGGAGGCCCTTTGCGACAGGACTCAGCGAATGGACTACAAGGCCTGGCATGCATCACGCAGCATTCCTGAAGAGGCGGGGTGAGAGGAGGACAGGCTGCCGCGCAGTGGGAGGGGCGTAGGGGAGGGGGGAGGCGGAGTCCTGATGGACCAGCGGAAGATGAGCAAAGAGAAGTAGCTGCAGTATTTTTTCCGATCAGATTTTATTGGTACATTTTAGGTATACAATATTAATAACATTAGCATTAGGATAAGAACAAGATTAGCTCTTTCATAGCGCAGATAACTTGCCATTGTCTTAAGCGCATTATGTATATTAAAATAATTCACAAAACACTGTTCAGTGGATGTTATTATTATTCTCATTTTATTATTCAGGAAACTGAGTCACACAAAGGTCGACTAGTCCAAGGTCAGGCAGTCGAAAGGAGCGGAAGCGGAGTTCAAGTCTAGGTATCATTTTATTCCCCAAAAAGCTAGAACTGCACAAAATTGGTAATAGCATTCTTTATCCTCAGAACCTTTTCTTTTTCCATTTCACTTTTTAAAAAACATATTGAAAAGCTCTTCAAGCAACGGTGTATCAAAACTGAACATTTTGTCCTTTCAGAGGGTATCTCTGGTCTTGCCCAAAATCCATGCCATTTCTCACATTACCACATTAAGAAGAAAGAAAGAAAATACCCAGATTTCTGTATATTATCTAAATTTGCTCCTGGATTGAAAGTGGGAGATGAGACTTTCCTGTTCACTATCCATTTATACATTCATTTCTACTCACACTTATATAATGCTTATGGTGTCCCAGTACCTTTGCTCAGAATAGGAATCAGGACTGGGGCCAGTGTCCTCCCCAAGTCTAGCAGAGGTTTGGCACGCGGGATGCGTTCAGTAAATATTGACAGTGAATAAGTCTTTCTTTCAGGAACAGGAAAAGTAGAGATCAGTGCAGGGTTAATGGTTCACTCAGTAATTTATCTGGAGAGGCCAAGAGAAAGTCATAGAAGAAAAAGGACCTGTTTTTGCCTCTGGCCTCCAAAGAAATAGGTGCAGGCCCAGTGACTTTCAGGGTTCCCCACTTCTCCAGGGCCGTTTCTTCATCTGCAAAAAAAAAAAAAAAAAAAAAAGACAACATGCTACACTCCCTTGTCTGGCTACAATTAAATGATGCATAGCAAGACCCAGATCAGTATGGCCTTAGATTTAAAGATTTGTTGAACTGCTTTGAAAGGCCCTGTAGAGCAGTACTGTAAAGGATATACAAGTGTTGCCTGCAAGCAGGAAAAGTCATAGATGAGACTCACTTTGCCATGTACTTATTTGACTGGTAGCCAAGTGCATTACTACTTGTTTTTTCATTGTATGAATTTGATACAGGCTCTCACTATGCAGGTCGGACTCGTAGTGATCTTCCTGTTTTCAGCCTCCTCAGCGCTGGGATTACAGGTGTGTGCCACCACACCGACTCAGTCAAGGCTCAGCACACCCCAGGGCCAGGGCAGGGCAGCATGCGGGCCCCGGATCAAACGTTGGCTACGGTTCTTAAATAAGATTTACAAAGCAAAAAGAAATAAGCAACCTTATAGCTAAGAATTTGACCTTTCTTCACCAAAGTATTCCTAAGTCCTATAATGTCTACTTCGCCTTTCCCAGCTTCCATGAATGAACCTCCCCCAGAGGCAGAATTTAGGGACATGAAGGAGGCGCTGAATGATATTTCTCACCCCACCATGAAAAGCAAAAATACTGGAGCTTTGGGAACAATTTAGATTTTCTGCGGAACTGCCCACCACCTCTCCCCACCCTACCCTCTAAACTGAGGAAACGGAGTCCCAAATATACGTGGCAAGATATCCAAATGCCCCAGCCGTGGGCAGAGAAAGCCCTCGGTTTCCTCCAGCTCTGGTAGCCTTGCGATACTTCTAAACTGGAATTGCGTTCAATTTTTTTTCTTCCCCCTATTCTCTGGACACGCAGAGCAAAACTAACAGGAGACCAAAGCTCTGACAGCATCACCAAGAAACAACTCTGAAGCTAGCGCGCGGAAGGGCGGAGCGGAGGAGTGCCTGCCCTCCTGACGACTCTGACCAATAGGCCTGGGTGTTGAGCCGGCCAATGAACGTGGGCGAGAGGCGGCGGGCCAATCAGCGCTGGGCCGCTCGGGAGGTGGTGCTCCGTGCGAGACCTGGGGAGCGTTGCGGCGGTCGCAGCTATGGATGCTGGGCCTGCGGGGACGCCGAGGGACCTCGGGGGACAGCCAGAGAGAGCTGGAGAGACAGCAGTTTGGACTGACCCTCGACGCTGAGCCTCGGTAGGGGACTATCTGGCGCCGCGAGGGCCGGTGAGCGGAAGCGCAGCGCACCCAAGAAGCTGGGTAACACCTGGCCACTTCGAGGGTCCCACCTAGCCTCCCGGAGCGTCAAGAGAGCCAGACGCACATATCCTGGGGTGCTGAGGCCGCCATACATCGTTGGAGGCCACCTGGCGACCAGCGCCGCCTCAGTCAAGCCCGTGGGTGGCCCTGGATGGCTGAGCTGCCCTGTCGCTGGCCGCCCGGGCGCCGCAGCGGCTGAGGTCGCTGAGATCGCTGGGCTGCCGCAGCCCTCGCCGCCCCCTGCATGCCTGGCGCCCGGGTCGCAGCCCACCTGGACTCTCTGGGACCCCTGGTCTCCTACGTGCAGCCTCCGCTGCTGCCCTCTATGTTCTACGTGGGCCTGTTCTTCGTCAATGTGCTGATCTTGTACTACGCTTTCCTCATGGAGTACATCGTCCTCAATGTGGGCCTTGTCTTTCTGCCCGAGGACTTGGACCAAGCGCTTGTGGACCTTGGCGTGCTCTCCGACCCTGGCTCTGGCCTCTATGATGCCGACTCAGAGCTCGATGTCCTCGATGGTTACTTGGAGTAGGGTCTTAACTGCTCTATCCCTTTCCTTTCCTCGATCCATAACCCTTGGCCTGGACCAGCTGCCCAGATCATGCTGCCCCTCCTGGTTGGGGGTGCCGTCCGGACGGAGATGGGACCCCAGGATGAGACCCTTCCCGGCCTCCAAGGCCTGTAAGTGCCCTGGGGATGAGGGTTGGTTGGGGCATGAGAGAGGAATGTGTACCCAGACCAGACACTCACCCTTCCCCCAGGCTCCTCTGGATCCAGCTGGATGCCAGGAATGGCTAGATCCCCCATAGGCCCTCAGCTGGGGTTGGAAAACTTCTCTAGTTAAGAGAATAGCTGTTGAAAAAGGAAGGGGTATCAGGGCTTATGTTATATTTGGGATAGCCATGGAATTTTTCCCTATGTCTTGTGGAAAAAGCCTTTGCACCCAAATCCATTTAAGGAAGAGCTGCCAGCTCCTCCCACCAGTCTCAGTCTCAGCCTATCTTGATGATGACCTTGGTGATTTGGGGATTCTCACTAGTAATGAAAGTAAGAAAACTGGGAGGTACCAGAAGGGGTAGGAAGCCAGACACTGATCACCTTTGTGGTGTGAACCCTAGGGAACTGAGTGGAGGTTGAGTGCAGGACCCTAGCCCAAGGCTGTGAGAGGAGAAACCTTCAGCAAAGAACATTGTACTTCCTTTTGGCCTTGGGTTTGCTGCTATTTTGGAGTCAGGTTTCAGGGTGTCTCAGCTTGTCAGTTCTGCAGCTCAGACCAGCAGGGGCTGCCAACTTTGCGGGCTGCCTTCATGAAACAGGCAAGTGAAGGTTGGTGCTAGGGCTGCCTTTGTCTGTAGTGTTTGCAAGGCATCCAGGGCTTTGCAAGGCATACTGGGTTAGCAGGAGAAAGGACCACAGGATTGTTGCATTGAGCTGGTAAAGTCCTGCTTATGGGCTTGTTGCATGTTAGAGACAGGAAGATGAAAGTTCCAGTAGGAATAAAAGTAGCCAGTGTCACCCAGCAAAGAGGAGGATAGGCAGCCGGAATAAATGAAAGAGAGAACATGTGTACCTGGCCTGGACCAGACTGTTGGGTAACTATCAGCTCCAGTGAGGGATCATGGGGCAGGCAGGAGGGACTCCTTGGCTGAGCCTATGGCTGGATGATGCTGTACTTCTGCTGGGCAGGAAGCCTGAGTAATAACAGAAAGGGTTGCTGAAGTGGTAGGCATGGCCTCCCTCTGGGAAACAGATGCTCTTTACCATTCTGCTTTGCCAACACGGCCATAGTCAGCAGGTTGTCTTATAATCAGTTCTAGATACTATGACAGCATCCATGGACTGAATGCTTTAAACAACAGACATCACAGTACTTATACACTGGGCACTAATGCCATTCACAAGGGCTCCACCTTCGTGAACTAATCACCTTCCCAGGCCCAGTTTCCTTATACCATCTTAATGGAAACAGGTTGTACCATTGGAATTTAGAGATTAGGGGAACTAAACATTTAGCCTGCTGCAGAGGCTGATGCAGGGTGAGGTGGGACTTGCTGCAGCAGTGCTTGGGGACAGAAGGCGTCCCTAAGGGACCAAAAGCAAGATTTCTTTGAAGAAAGCTTCAGCTGAGGACAATGAGATTTATCAGGAGTCCACAGCCGAGTGAGATGTGACCCAACTGCTCTGCATTCCTGCCTGCCTCTCTTCCATTTTTATTGGTTCAGTACTGCATCTGGGAAGTAAACACAGTAAGCAAGAGGGTCCTGGCCCTCCTAACACCTGATGAGGAAGACTTTGAAGTCTCCAACAAGCCCATGAATATTGGCAAGAACTCTGAAGGCATGCAAGAAGGACTGGGCTTCCCTGATGGCTCACTGCTGCTTCCTCAGCACCCTGACACCTGGTAGATGCTCTATGTAGGGTAGGGGCAGGCTGTTTTACTAGGAATATTGAAGGACCCTGTGAAGAGTTGATATATTTAAGCTGAGCCCTAAACTGATTGGAGCCAGAGGAAAGCACGCCAGGCAGAGGCAACTACTATGCTGAGACTATGAGAGGGGAGAAAATTGGTTCATCCAGCAACTCAAGGAGGCCAGTGTGGATTGAGGGTATCCCCAGAAGAATCAGGAGCAGCCCAAGGAACCCACACTTTGTAGGACTTAGAATGCGAGGACCAAGAACAACAGATAATTTCTGGAAGGCTTTAGGCAGGGAATGACACAATCCAAACCTTTTACACAGATAGCTCTGATAGCTATGGCAGAATGGGATGAAGGGCAAGTGTAGAAGCAGGAAAGGTAGCTAAGAGATTAGTAGGTGTCCTGTGGACAAAGATTTGGAACAGGTCACGGAATGCAGGGAAATAAGAAGAGACTGAGAATGTCTGTCAGAAGTAGGACCTCTGGTTATCCATTCAAAATCTGTACTGTTGACCAGTGCCATCTTTGTTTCTAGGCCCTTCACAAAATCATTCAGTCATTCAGTGAACCTTGGCCCTGCTTGTTCTTCCACCATCCTATATGCTAGGCTTCAGTGATCTCAAGATGAATCCCTGTGGGCAAGCCAACTGCTTGACTTTGAAACTGTAACTTGGTGAGGAATGTCTTTATTTTATCTTCTCACCACATCAACAGAAACATTTCCACTTCCAAATGAAAACATTGGCATATTCTGAACTGAAAACTGAAGCCAAAATGCTTTGACATATTTTACAGCAAATGCTGTTGAGCAGAAATACCAGGAAGTGTCTCTTGGGGACACCCTTGCAAAGCTCTTGGAGTGACAGGGCCTGACCTCAGGAAGTGCAAAACACAGGCCTGGAGATATGGTAGGTTCCAGGCATAGCATCCTCTCCTCCTATCCCCCAATCTGGACCAGGAGGTTTGGCCTCAGAGCTGCAGAAGCCCAGACCCTAGGGTGCAAGGTGAGTGACCAACAACGGAAAAACTCTGAGAGGTATCTCAAGATGATCTCACCCATCCTTATCTCTAGGCTCCTTACAGTAAGGGGGGAACAGCAGAGGTCAGGTCTTGTTTTTTCTCACTTATTCTCGTGTGGACACACAAGCTGAACCAGGAAACACTGATGTTGGCCCTAGGACAGTTGGGGTAGGTCAAAGTTAGGGGCCAGGACTCTAGATTCATTCATGTTAGCCATGTTCAACTCCAGGCCTATCTGTGACCTAGAACATGCTGTTTAACCTCCTGCTACATTAGGGTTTTGGGATATTCGGTTTTTGGGGTTTTGTTTTTTTTTTTTCCTATCAAACAGGGATAGCGAACATCTGCCTTGTAGTGAGTATTAAACAGATTATCTTATGTATAGTAAATAATGATCTTAACTGCTATTACTGTTAACAGTCAGATATGATGGAAAGTATGTACATACAGGCCACTGCCAATGCATAAACCTGCACCTGCATCCCTGCATGAATATTTACACCCCACAGTTAGCAAAAAGGCCTGGCTGCCTGAGGTGCAAGGAAGGTCCAGTCGTGGTCTACTCAGCCTGCCAACTCTGCCTTCTTGCCTAGGACCTTCCAGGGCACTAGATCTGGAGCTGGAGAGCTGGCCCCGCAGTTTGCCTAGAGCATTAATTGTTGCCCTGGAGTAGCAAATAGGAAATAGGGAGATACCTCTTTTGGGGAGAAAGGGCTGCTTCAGCTGGCCTAGGAGCCAGAGAAAGTCCTCACATCATAGCCATTTGGGTCCTAGGGCAGCTCAGCTGGATTAATTCATCCTAGTTCCTAATGAAGGTAGCAGGTGCTCACAAGCCCTTTCTTGGCACATGAGGTGCTGTTTTAGAAGAACTGCCTCTGGGTTGAAAACTGGAAGACTGGGGACTCCAGGGCAACAGATTTGGAGCTCAGGTATGTTGGTTTATCTTAATACAGGGTTTTGCAGCCTTCTGTTTTCTCCCAGCTCCCAGGCCACAGATGTTCCTGCCCAGGTCACCTGCCCTCTGCTGTGTGTGCTGGTCTGCAGCCTATGCAGCCAGCAGACTGCCCAGGCTGGACTTGTCACTGCCCAGCTCAGAAGCCTATGCCTTCTTTGGGGACATGGACTCAGTCAAATTTGAGTTATGGGAAATCCCACTTGAACCCTGGGGAGCTTGTGGCAGGGTTCAGGGCAGGTGTTGGACCCCAGGCAGGAAGCTGAGGCTATCATTCAGCTAAGAGGTAGATGATGGTGGTTTGGAAAAGCAGGTGCACCCCCAGATCCAACCAACCCACCAGCCCCATTCCTGACATGAGGCTCACCCAGATGAATACATCAGGATAGCTGAGATCCAAGGGCTCCTCTCCATTGGCCCTGAACTCATACTAGCTGGTGGTTTCAGCCAAGACAGCAGGCCCTACCACTCACCCTTCACAACCCCATGTCTGTTTGCTGAACTCAACCATTGGTATTTCTGGTTTATCTTCTCTTTCCCCATAACTCCTAAAAGTATACTCTGCTTTTGGGCAGCTAGCATAACAGTGAAAGGGACAGATATCTTTATTCCAATCTCACAAGTAAAACTGGAGCCCAGGAAGGGGAAGTGAAAAATCAAGCAGACCTCAGTGCTGTTCCTACCAGGGGGACAGGGGCCCTCTAGTGAGGTTTCCAAGGTTCTCTCCTCAAATACCCAACTCCTTTTTCTTTTGTCTTAAAATGTTTTTGATACAGGTTCTTTTTCAAGGGCTGGCCTTGAACTGACAGCAGTCCTCCTGCCTCAGTCTCCTGAGTGTCAGGATTAAGGCATGTACCACCACATCCTGTTTTTTTTTTGTTTGTTTGTTTGTTTGTTTTTTGTGTTTGTTTTGTTTTGTTTTATTTTGTTTTTGAGACAGTGTCATCCTATATAGTTAAGCCTGGCCCTGAACTCATGACAATCCTACCTCAGCCTCCCAAATGCTGGGATTATAGGTCTGCCCCACCACACCCAACTCCAACCCTGTTTTTTCTTGGCCTGTCTTACAGGTGTACTACTGCTCCTTTTGTCTGAATTTATCTTAAAAAACAAGACATGTTTTTGGAATAGTGTGGTACTTACAGAAGAGTCATAAGGATATAAAGAATTCCCATGCACCGCTTACCCAAAGCCACTTGTTGCAGCAGTTTACATTTTCTCGTGTGTGCAAAGTGCGCCTGTCCTCCTGGTGCATATATGCATCCTGAGCCACTTGAAAATGGGCTGCAGAT